TGTAATTTAATTATGTGTGTAATAAGGTGTTGCGTACACGCGGGTTTTGCGAATGAAACAAATTCATTCGTGTGACCGTGTTTAATAAAGACGATTAAACATCTGGAGTCACGGAAACGTTCAGATCAAGACTTCAAACTGAGGCACCTTGTGTTGAGGTTGAGTCCTGGTCATTTCACCATTTTGAATGTTTGTGGTTTTGGTTGTTTTACGCTCGACTTCCTGTGTACCTAAGTGCACAATTTTACTCTTTGATGGTTGGTACTGATGATACGCGAAATCCTACCACAGCGGGGTCATGCCCACTTCGACGAACCGCAACTTAAAGCAATTTTTGTCGTGTATTTGTCGCCTAGTGCAAGATACTGAGGTTATTTAACTCCATCTACCAGCATTAACGTGAAATAAGACACAAATAATATTTAATATTAACATTTTCTGGAAAAGTGGTAAGATTTGAATCTTTGAAATAATTGGGTTTAAATGGTGCAGAACAAACAGTATATTTGAATGTTTGGTGAGTTTATTTGTTTAAATTAAACATTATCCACATAACCATTCATTTTTAATGCACATTCACTCAATCTACAAAAAAAACATTTTTTTTTATTTGCAACAGAAAAAGGACATTTTATTTTTATTTTGCATAATAACATTGCGCAACATTTCCATTATTTTGCATAACAACTCACAGCTGTTGGAAACTCTCAAGGATGAGCTATTGCCCTCTTTGCCCTTTTGTTAATCCATCTTCAATGTTGGAAGTATTTGTCTCTGGAATGGCCCGCAAAAGATGTTTGCCCTTTGACAGATCAGTGATCCAGGAAAGGATCACTGATTAGTTGATGTTTCATGAAAACAGTTCATGCATCTGAGATCTGACCTGTAACCAGGATTTTGTAGCATCTGTTGGCTGTGAGTGGGGTAGCTCTTTAAGGCATTGGCTGATTCATTCAATTTTTCTAGTTTGGATGAAACATGAAAAAAAAAAGTTTGCTGTTTTCCGGTGTCGGCTGGATTTTTTTTTATTTTAAAGTTTTCTAAACATGCTGCATGATCTCTTGTTCTTGTTATTGTCTCTCACCAAACCACAAGCTCTTGAAATGTGTTTTCACGACGCGCAATAATGAGTATTGTGAACGATGCCCACCACATTGGGTTATGCTCAAAAGAACGTTTTATACATATATTTCAAGAGGCAGCTTCGCCTTAAAATGGTTTGACGTGTGGGAAGGGTTGGCGATTAAATATCCAACTTTCCATTTGGAAGCGAATACCTTTTTGTGCACCTTCTCAGATGTTACACCCAAACCAATTCCTTTGAAACTCTCATTGAGGTTTTACCCAGTGAAGACCTATTGGTTTCTGCACAACTGCAGATGAAACTGGGGTTTATCCCAATTGTACTAGTCGACCTTGAGTCACACTCTGACTATAAATCTGCGAGGTAATTTCTTTTTTTATAATCCAGTTTGGCTGAACAGGCCAACATTAAAGAGTAATCTCCATGCCCATCATGGAGGAGTGGAAGCTTTTTAAAGAAACAAAGGCCAATTTCAAAGCATCAGTTTGCAAAGTCAAATTAGATTAAATCATGTTTACAGCATGAAAGTAACATAGTTTCTCGATTGTGCTATGAAATATGTTTTCTAGTGTCAGATCGCTGTAGAGGGATTTGTGTCAGCCAACAGATTCAACAACCGGCTTTCATTGACGTCACCTCACTGCATCAGACAGCACTGCTGGTAAACAGTTGCATTGTTGTCAGACAGCAAGATTTCAGCGAATTTCAACTTTGCATGGGAAACAAAACCAGACATCTATTTTGCATCGCAGCCTGAAACCTTCTGTAACGTCTGCTGCCTGGAGACAGGTGTGCTCTGACATCACGATGTTACTGGGAAGTGGGAACTGAGCGCAGCGGGAGCCGCTCTAAACCAAATTACTTTCCGAAAGTGGGGAAAAACTTTAGAGGAAGATGTTTTCTTTGTAACTGGTGGCATCTTTCCTGGCTGAGCAGATTTGACTCTAAATCGCATGGATGCAAGTGTCAGAGTGGTGTGAGAGGATATGACGAGGAACATACATCTTAAACAAACTTGAATTTAACCGTCATGCTGTGTTGTCTGTTGTATTTTTTTTCCAGGTTGCACTTAAAACAAGTCAAAGATGAACAGTAAAAAAAAAATCATTAACTGAATTTTATAGAAGAACAGGTGACAGTCACTGCAGTCACCCGATCTTCATCCCTCTGGAAACTTTGGTCCGTTCTGCAGTCAAAATCAGTTTGATATACATGTACATCTATATTTTTTTCAATTATTTGAGTTTTAGCTTTTCTGCAGGCCAAACTGCACCAACACTAATTTAACATCTACTTCGATGTGTTATAAACACGACTTCAAGCCATGTTTAGAGCTTGTTGTAAGTTTTCTCGTGAAAAAGAACGTCACAATCTTCTATGCGCCGTCAAATTCCAGAATTTGATTCCAGAATCTGTTAAACGAAACAAAACATGGTTTCTAGTACACAGAAAAAAAGTCTGTATGAATGGACACTGAATTCCTCCTGCTGTGTGCGTCTTTACCATCTCGTGTGTGAAAAACTCTTGTGTAGTATAACTTGCTAATACAATACATATGACAAGAAAGAAGTCCTTTTTTGCACTGCGGCTTTTCAACACAATATAAATATAGTTTTTTTTTTTCTTTTTCTTCCTTTGGCTTGCGCTCCACAGGCGCGGTATCGAGTAGAGGAAGGCAATAGACTGAAGGTCTTTGACCACAGCATCCTGAATATGTCTCCTCTTGGCCCTACAGCCACAGCAGCAAGAGCTTTTTCAGTCGCTGTGTCAAGTTAAGAGGGAAAATTGTAGCGGTGAGGAAACTATGTGTACACCTGGTTCCTGCGGTGTCTCACACCCTGGGAAGCGATGGCTTAAGCGTTTACGACGAAGCCATTGAAAAGCTGTGTTAGGGCCAGAGCGACAGGAAAAGCTTTGCGTCAACCTCACAAGACAAGAGGTTTCACAATATTGGAGACAGGTTGGTAGCAATTCAGTTGAGAAAATGAACAAACTCCTTAGTCATCGACAATAAAGTTTTCACAAATCACGTGGTTTTAGCTTTGCACGTGAAATCAGTGTTGAATAATCCAGTTCAGCTTCCACTTACCCATAGTGCAGTTTCAGCAGGTGTCCGGATCTCTTATATTTGTGTTTTCGCAAATATGATGAAGAATATCTGGTCAGTGTAATCCAGCTTAGGTTAGGAGGATTTATGTTAGCACCACCACCACTAATATTACTAGTATAATATTATATTGATGTGAAGGACTGTGATACAAACTCCCTCACTGCTACAGAGTCATGGGAAAGTGATGACCAGTTTAAGAACGTTTTGCTAATTTCTTTCTCCCGTGGAATTATTTCAGTTTCACCGTAAAAAAAACAACAAAAAAAAACACAAAGGGTTAAAAAAACTTGTTCTTTCTCAACAGGTGGAGGAATCCACCCTGCTGACCTGCTGTTCTGACCCACATCTGGTGGTGGTGTGGTTGTGCAGAAGCACAACCACTCAATGGGTGTGTGTGTGTGTGTGTGTGTGAGTTATGAATGTTAATGAGTCGTGTGTGCGTGTGTCTTTGTGTGGATGACATATAATTATCCAGGCATGTGTTTGTGCCAAGTTGTGGAAGGCACCGTACTTTCCACAGACACACACACACACACTCTCTCTCTCACACACACACACTCTCTCTCTCTCTCAGACACACACACAGAAAATGACAAGAGAAAGATGAAAATAAGAGGAAGAAAGACAGAGTTTCTCAAATAAAGGGGAAAACTGTCCTCATTTCACCTAAGAAACCTTTTATGACAAAATGACCTAAGCTGAACTATGAAGTCAGCATAAACAGACTGTTTTTAAAAGTCATTTATTTGATAACTAAGTTCAAGCTTGAAAATACTGATTTCAACTTAATCCGCCTCTGGTAATACTACAGTGTCTTTTAATGTTTTTGTTTGAAAACTTGTACAGAAAAGTACAGGAAAATAGTTTGGTATGGGAACTATTCTTAAATTACTCACCATTTGTTTTTTTGGAAAGTCACAATATTTTTTTAGTTTCTAGAGACACCAAAGCTAAAGAATATAACTTTTATTTTAAAAAAAATTAAAAGAAAAGGTATTTTACGTACTTGTTAAAACTGTAGACAACATGGTGACGGATAATCTGTGAAAAGATCCATCTCCTCCACCTCCTGTCTGAGATACTACCGCTGTGCTAAGAAACGCACCGCTCCAAAAACAACCAATCAGAGCAGGGAGGAGGGTCTTAGTGCTGTTCATCAAGCTCATGTGCTCACTTCTCAAAGTCAAATTAGCGGAAAAACAACTTACCATTCCAAGAAACACATTTGTCCAATCCTAACTAGCCAGAGGATTCACAACAGAACCTGCGAGCAAAGGGACACTAAGAGAAGAAGGGCAGCACAACAGAGAAGATGACTGACAGCACTAAGGCCCTCCTCCTGGATCTGATTGGTTGTTTCTAGGTAGAGGAGCTCAGTTTTTTTAGTTTTTTTTTTTTTTTGACAGATTATCTGACTCAGCTTGCTAGCTTTCTGTTTATACATGACTTGGTCATTTTTAATGTCTTCCTGGTTGAATAAAACTATAAGATTCTGAGTTTTTGATTCGCAGCTGCACATGACATCGACTTTTGTGCACTTTTTGATTGAGATTTGTCAACTAAATTACCCCCACGATTATAGTGGGGGGTAAAGCACGCTATTAATTGACAAAATTTTCACACTATAAATGTTTCTGTACAAGTGACAACTAAAGACTTCATGCTCTTCCACGTATTGCAGCGTATTGTAGTCTGCCAGGTCAATTCTTGAGATTAGACTCATAAGACTTCATGCACGTCCTTACCAGAACAGAAAAAGGATATCTTAAAAAATCATTTTTATTTGTTAAAAAAAATCACATCATACAACATGATTCATTTCTTTTAATGTACAAAGTTGTAAAAGCATTGTTTCCAGGACAGAAATTGGAAGCAATTGAATTTTTATTATAGTTTACAATATAAACAAAACGTACTGGTTGCTACACTTGTACTGGGTCATCAGGAGTCATTCTTGTTTTATTTCTTTTTTTTTTTTTTTTTTTTGTTTTGGCTCCTGTACATCTAAAGTTCAATAGAAGCATTTACAACATTTTCAGCGAAAGCACAGCGCACCGCAGTGTCTCTGGGTCCCACAAGTTTCCTGCGTTTAGACTTTAGTCTAACGTTTCCAATGAAATAACAGGTCATCCCCCTGCATTACAGCAAGCAACAATTATCTATCTGCTAAAGGTTGTGGCTTTCACATGGTCCAAAAGTCAAATAAACCAAAATGGGCGATACAATTTGACACAGTCATTCCAGCAGTGCTTGATGCAAGTCATTAAAACCCTGAATGTGTCATAAACACACGCGCGCACACACGCATACAAGTGTTTCTGTGCTCGAACACCTTCAGAAGACCTGCGAACAATATGCTCATTACAAGGTTTCCATATCAGTTTCAGAAAGCAGTAAATCGTCTCTCGGTTTCCTCCCTGAAAAGCTCGCCTCTCGCACGCCGGTCGTAACACAGTATTTCAAAATGAGGTTGTAGGTTTCACATGGCACAATATCAGAAATCAGCATGCAGTCACAGCACTCTCACTGTCACAGTGAAGGAGAAGCAAAGCAGCTAAACACTGGTGAAGAGGAAGAAAAACAAGCTTTGTGCATTTTAAAGGGGAGGGGAGTTCAACGACGTCGCTTTAACTAATCAGAATAGTTTCATGGCAAAGGAAAGCGTCTCTACAACATAACAAAGGAAATTAGTGTGATACATGGATGTCAAAACTATATGAGACATGAAGCGTAGATTCATTTGGACTAATATTTAACAATGCTAATAGCTGTTTATGATTACTGACTGGTCTTTTGTTTAGCGTTATGCATTCAGAAGACTATGTCATAAAAAAGTATGTAACACAGATTGTTATAATGATGCTAGGGGAAATTAGCTAGCATGCTGATTTTAATTTGTAAGCTGCAATTTCATTACTATTTCAAATTTGTCACTTTGTGAAGATGCAGCAGCAGGTACTGGAAACTATTTCATCTGGACGTGAAACTGGTGAAGCTAGCCTGTTGGCGTCACCTGTTGATTAGTTAGCATCTCGGCTTGAGCTGGTACGAGAGTCTCGTGGTGTGATACTTTACCACAAATACGACAAAAGTCACATTAATTGACACAAATATTTTAAAAACAGTGCACGATTCATAGCTTCCACAGCATGACTGTTTGGATTTGTGGCCTGGTTTCGACGTAAAAGTGCAGTTTCTACACATTTTTCATGTCTTCAATTTAGAAATGTTCTTCAAGAACCTATGACCAATTTTCACAAACATAACATTTGACAATTAATTTGCTACGGTGAAAGTTCTGCGGAACAGGAAAAGAAAAAGAAAAAGAAGGAAACATTGGAAGAATGGACGGGGGCAAACAAAAGAGGGAACGAAGAAAATGCAGGCAGGATGAAAGGTACGACAAGTGGGAAGTAAACAAAAACAGGGAGGAGAATAATGAAAGTGGGAAATAAAAGAACAGAAAGGATGGATGGGGGAGAAAAGGCAAGCAGGACACCCGTCCATGGCGGAAAGTTTTGAAGCTGTGAGTTTCTAAAACTTTGCTATACGTCCAGACCGGGCTGGTTAACAGCTGTGGGCCTTTCGAAACGGGATTCTAAAAATCACAATGGGAAAAATTATTTTTCCACCAAAAGAACATTTTATAACAATACGCAAAACTTTGTTTATTAATTTATAAACAGTTGAACAGTTTTAATGTGCACAGCTTCAAATCTAAATGTTTCTTTCATCTTCACCATTGTATTTTCTCTGTTAGTTTGGTTACTAATAGCCAATCATTCCAAAACAAAACCCCACCCATCCCTTCACTGTTTTAGCCACGGCTGGATGCTATCCAGAAACCTCTCCGAGTGTTTAATGACCTGGCAGGCATGAGCAGACTTGGCTCAGTCTGAATCACTGTGCTAATAAACGGAAAATTGTCAACAAACCAAAACCTGCTGGTTACTTTCACCCTGGCTGCTAACGAGAAAACCAGACGATGGAAGACCGTAAAATTTGATCACTTATTGCAGAGCAATGGAAAAGTTTATAGATTAATAAACAGCAAAGCAAGAAATGACACTACTGACTAGTTTTAATGACTGACTTGATTTAAATTGTTACTTTGTTCATCAACGTCACTCTGCTTTTAGAGCTAGTTAGGTAGCAGTTATTGCTTTAACCAGTGGCTGACTGAGCAGTAGGTTTGAGTTCAAACGGAGCAAAAGTTTTGTTTTAATGTTGAGTACAGAATTGTTTTTTATTGCCATTTTTGAATGAAGTAATGAATAAACATCTGGTCCTGAAACTACATCAGAAATGCTCTTTAAGGTATTTCTGACATGAAATGCCTGGGTAAAAGTTGTTATTTGCAATGTTGAAAGTAAAACCAAATTCAAGAAAAATGGGAAACTGGAAGATCTTTTTTTTTAAAAAAAAATATTATTATCATTTCTGTACGATGGCATATAAAGGCCATTGCAGATGGGGAAAAAAATCAGCAATGGGGGAAAAAATAGGGTGGGAATTTTTGCCTAAAAAAGAAATGTTTACATCAGTTTCAGAAAATTTTTAGAAAAATAAAATTAGTTTTTGAATTTGAAACACTTAAAACGTGCCAGAAAATACCTGAAATATTTGAGATTAATCTCAGAAATTCAAAATCAAGAAAATTTTACAGTTTAAAAAATGAAAAATTTGCTCGGGAAAACTCAGAAAAAACTCCGAAATTGAACATTTGTGACTTCTGAAACTCAGAAATGTCAAAGTTTTCAGTGATTGAGCTCAAAATGTTTCTAGATTACTTCTGTACAATTTTTCTTTTCACTTTTCAACGTCAGAAATGTTTTTTTCCATAAACGTTCTGAGATCTTTTGGGCGGAAATTTACTTCATTTTACTGTCTACAATACGCCGTCGTATTGTTGCATCTCGTAATCCTATTGCCAAATCATTTGAACAGCATGACAGTTCTAAGAAGGTTTACAGCCGTCAGTCTTGTCCAGCAAAACCCTTTTCATCGCGTTTAAAGTCAACGTTATGCGACAATCACAATATATTTCTTCTTTCTGGATAAAAATGCAGTTTTGTTGACATCAGTTTTTTACAGAACAACATATTTTGTGGAAATAAAGCCTTAAAATGACCGTAGTTTGGGAACACAAAAATGACAATGTAAATGCACTTATATTTTGAATGCATGACAGGCGGAAAGCAATAGAAAATAATTTTAGACCCATAAACCTAAACAAATCTGGGTCACAGACTGTGATCGCTCAGGAAGCACATAATCTCTGTACAATAGTAAAAATAAAAAACAACTTAAATCAATCTTAATAAAGTAAACAACAAACTGTACAAGGCACGTTTGAATTTCCACAGGCATATTTTTCAGGTCAAATGACTGTCTCTGTTCAAGAAAAGGAGTGCAAATCTTGCCTCTTTGGTAAAATGACGGAGACTCGGAGGCCATTAGGGAAAATCAAACATTTTAGAGTTCCTTCCTAAAAGAGAAGAGTTCAAAGGGGGAAGGAACAGGCATATTAAATCATATATGTATAAAAGCGTCAAGATTTGATATATGTTCAAAACATACTCAAGAAGAATGCTACGTCTGCTGGGTTTTCCTAAGGCTAAACCTGAGAGTGGTCATGGCTGCTCGTGTTGCCTTGCATGTACATTATTCGTCCGACCAGGAGGAGCAGAAGGCAGACACAAAGCATGGCAACGGGCTCTTGCTGGATGTGCGGCATCAGGTTTAGAGGGACTACGTTCCGTTGGTGTCTTCTCGCCATCCTCTACAAAAGAAAGCACAAGACAGGACAAGTTATATTAGTGAGAGAAATAGAGAATTTTGCAAACGGCAGTTCATAGCTTGTCAATTTTTTATATTCAACGTTGGTAACATTTTTAAGATCCTTCTAAAACATGACTTTGACAGCTTACAAGCCAATGCCATTACGTTCCAGCGATACCAGACCTACTTCCCTCTCAAATCCCACAGAAGCAGAAAGGGTGCACTTAGTTTTTCACACAACTGTACTCACAGTCATGGAAATGTTCTTTTTCCCGACAACACAAATGGTGCTTTATGTCACAATTACATATTTCACATGTTCAAATAAAGTTTAACAAAGACGACCAAAGTGAGTACAGAAAGTGGTTTTTGAGTTATCATTTCATTTATAAGGGGGAAAATAAGCTTTGTAAAAACAAGCCAAAGTTAAGTGGTAATCTATCCGTCACACATTGCTGTGGAGGAATTTTGGCCCAATCTTCTAAACACAATCGTTTTATTTCAGCCACATTTGAGGTTTTTGGAGCATAAACATCTCAGTTGGATTTAAATCTAGACTTTTACTAGACCGCTCTAAAAAAAAAAATTATTTTCTTTACCCCCTGGGATAAGCACACTTACTGGTGTGCTTTGGATCATTGACCTGTTGGAAAACCTCCTTTTGCCAGACAACAGACAATCTTTCCTGAAGTGTTGGGGGGTCAACAATATGTTTTTGGCAAACATGAGACAACTTCATATGTTTTTTGTCAGCAGTTTCTTTTCTTTGAAACTCTCTATTTTTGTCCAGCCCTTTGATCACATTGCATATTACCTCTATATCTTGATGAAGGCACGTGAACAACGTCTAAAGCTCGTGCTTTTGCTATTTTCTCTACAAGAAACAGATGGGAAATCCTTTATTTCCACAAACAATGATAATTGTTGGCAAAAAAAAGAAACCACAGACACATTATTAGTGCCACCGCCAAAATATTAAGTCAGCGTCCAAACAGCTGTTTACCTGCTCAGATGTTTAAGACTAAGAGGGCCGAAGATGATCCCCAAAGCTTCAAAGACTGTCTTTTTGTCTATTATTACATGTTATTTATTTGACTCAATTCACACACACTGCCTGACCACATTATTTCAAAGGACATTCTGTTCTATCAATAAAAAAAATCCTCAGGCTCACATTAAGACATTTGATCAGCCATGAAAAGTTCTGAGTGTACAGTCCTAAACATCAGATGTTCGAGTGAACACTTCAGGACTGACTGTGGCATAAAAAATATCAAAAGGACATACGTTCTGCATGTTTACATCCACAGGAAGCAGGTAAGTATAGATGTCAAACATCCTGCCGCAGCTCTCTCTTTACCTTTGACTCTCCAGGTGCCAGCACACACAAGCTTGCTTTCCAGCTTTTATAGCTTAGGTTTGTATGAAGGCTACTAATCTTTCTCAGACACCCTCTCCCTTTCCTTCATGTACTGTCTCTGTTAACAGTGCTGTTATTTAAATCATGCTTCTTACCACATAAACCATTTTGTCATGGATTCACTTTAAGATTCTATTATGTTCTTGCACTCTCAACGTTTTCTTTTCTAGATGATAAATTCCCAAAATTTATATTTCTGTTCTAATTTTGACATTTTCGGGTAAATTTGTTCCACGTTATCTCACCTAAAACCGACTCAGTGCTGGCCTCCGTTGGTCAAACAGTGCATAAGCGGCTCCGCCCACTTTGCTGAAATTTTTAGTCACGCTTTAAGGAATGAAGTTTAAGTTGGATATAGATTGGGGAAGAGTAATTTGAGTCTTGACTTGGACTTGTCCTTTAAAGAATTGACACTTAACTTGGAATGGGAAAAAAAACATATTTCTTGATATCACAACAGTTTTAACAAGAGGAACATTGGACGGACATAAAAGTACAACTGAAACATATTGCTAAGAGGCACACATATTGTTGCTCTCACTTGGACTGCTTCCAGAGGCATGTTTGTCAGGACTACTGCAGTCTGCTTCTGTACTTTGGAAACTGAAAATGAAAGGAAACAACACTGTCACGCTTTAACTCATGCACAACAAGCGGGGCAAATCATGATGCGATTCTTAAAAGTGGAAGGCATACGCCCTGTTGGGGGCCCCTAATAAACTTCTCATGTTGCAACCCGGAGTTTCACGTCACATAACTGGCAAATCAGTGTTTCCGTGATGAGAAGCAGTCGTGCTAAAAGGTGCAGGAACACCTGGGTGAAGAACTACTGGCAGCCTCTGATGACAAATAGTTACTGTGAATGGCAAGAAATAAACAAAGACATGACTGATGTGTCTGACGGCTGGAAGCTAAGAAAATACTGATAAGACATGTTGAAACATTACAGTTCATTTAGGAGAAAAGCTGACGTCTATCCAGAAAATTACTTTAGAAAACAGAACATCTGAGTTTTGAAATTGACATGAGCAGTCCGGAGGCTGCTGAGAAAAGAAAAAAAAAATATCTCTGCTGCTTTTCTACTGGATTGAACATTTACTCTATGAGTGGCAAAAAACAGAAATGAGAAATTTTAAACTCAATATTTATTTTAGTTTCACATCAGCTCTTCTCAGCAATTCATTCTTAAAACATTTGTTCTAACAATTAACTTAAAATCATGTGCTATTGTTCTTTATTTTGGTGCTCTTGGAGAACATTTTACTCACAAAGTGTTTCCCACTTGTTTTCCCCCGACTTTTCCGCAACCCCTCTATGGTGATTCACAGAAACTTGGCTGGATTTCGACCCAAACAGTTCAGTTTTTTTTTCTTTCTATTCCTGCTTGTTGACAGCTCTGTGCTTTGGACTTGGTTCATCTCTCAGCAGCAGATTCTCCATAACAACAGATCTGCCTGAGTAATAAGAGAAATGAAAATTTCTTCTGGGTTTATACACACCGGGAAGATTGCTATCAAACATTTTTCAGAAACAATAATAGTTCCTTTTGCTGAAAAAAGAGGATATCCACCATGCAAAGTAGAGGGTAGTTTTAATTTCACCAGATATTTCCAGTTTCTATTTATTACCTCTTTGGTGGTTTAGTGCAAACAAATAGCTTTGCTAATATGTCAGTGGACTTCTCGAAGTAAGAATTGCTTTTCTTTAAGGCCACGCTGTACCTCTAAGGTGACATTCTTTCAATGAACTCACTGTTTTTCTCATTCTAATACATACAACTTCAGGAAAACCACTTTTTGCTGCAACAAGGTCATTTACAGCAATGTAAGAAGTATTTTTTAAAGGAGCTCGACCCAGTTATTTTTTTTTTAATCCCCATTTCAAGCCCTACAACCTGCGTTGGCATTCAGCCAATAAAATGCGGCCTGTCCGGAAGAACTTTACAATACCACCCAGTCAATGGCTGGCAGAGAATAAATTTCCAGCCGCAGGGCAAGACTTCACTCTGAAAAACAGGATCTTTTCGGATGAAAGTAAGAGAGGCATATCAAAGCCAGTGTGTCGAGCCAGAAATCACAGAAAGCGTATTGCCAGCAGAGGAAACAGGTGAGGGGAAGACTATTTAACCCTACATTTGAAACACGGTCTGGTTCTAATTTCACTTCTCACTTGGATCCAAGTCAAACACACTGCTCACAGATGACTAAGTAAACTTAAATAAATAAAGTGCTCTTTGACAGACAAAGAACTGGCTTCGCATTCAAACGTGTAATAATAAAGATGAGAGACAAATCTGTATATTTGACTTACATACAGAGGGAATCTTATGCCGTTTTTAAAGTGAAGCCATTTTTTTCTGGTTCAGTTCAAGGAAAAGGATTTTTTTTTCCCATCAAAGTAGTGGGCATGTCTAACCTGGACTGGCATGACAAACATTTCTTTACTGGTGCAATAAAGCAACCGCCTTGGGTTTTGACAAGCTAAGAGGTGGAACCACTTATTTTAACCACTTTAAATGTCCAGTTAGGGTTTGATGATTTATCAGTTTATTTTAATTATTTGTAGAGAACATGTTCTCTGAAAGACAATTAAGATACACAAATCTCAAAATTAATTTCTGGAAATCTGAATTTATTAGCGTTGGTTTAATCAACATGGACACTTTGCAGTCATGATCAGCTAATCTCTGAAAACTGGAGTTAAACACAACGTTGTGTGTGTGCGTGTGTGTGCGTGTGTGTGTGTGGGGGGGGGCATTTTGATTGGTTGGCATTCTCCATAAACCTTCCTGAGAACACTGTTGTTTCTTTCTTCTGGCCCTGAACCAGTTTACCAGTTACAGAGACACTGCCTCCAGTGGTGGAATCAAAAAACAGCTACTGAGCAAACATTAGCATCAGTTTTAGCACAAGACTCTGTCTTTCCAATCCTTTTCAATAAATCCATTTCCACTGAATTGTGTTTGTAAAAGAAGTCCAAAGTGTAACAGTGAAGTAGACTTTGTCAAAACATGTTTCTGAATTATGAGACTTGGGGAAGGTAATAAGGTAAAACTTCATGCAAATGGACTCTGACAGGAACATAAAGGTGGAAGCAGTCTGTCACAATTGTTATGATTCCCAGAAACTGAAGTACACTTTAACTCTGGACATATTTTACATACCATTACATAATTACCCTATGATGTAATAGCAATAAATAGAGAAATAAAAAAAAACTGTTGTTTTGCCATGTAAATGGCAAAACAGAGAATGTTAATAAGGATTTTTGGTACATCTCCTGGTCACTGCTTGCCTTGGTATGTTTTTGATATGATTCAATGCAGCTGTTGGGAAAATCCTCTCATCAATGAAAAGTCTTCTGACTTGTATCTCAAACAATGTACAAGTTTGGACTAGTTGGATGCTACAGGAGGGCATTTGGACTTTCGCTGATTTTTCTAAGGTACCAGTGATGTTTACATTTGGCTTGACTGTGTCTCAGGTGACGAATTAAGATAAGTATACAGCAAACTATGCATCTCATTGCTGTTGAAAGATGTGTTCACTAGCTATGTTTCTGTCCAACTGTTGTGCAAATTT